TATTGATCAATCACTGGAGAACACTAAACTTAAGCAGAACTCCACAGAAAAGAGAAGAGAGCGCTGGAATTCAAGGACTCCTTTCAGGGTGAAGGTGTGAATGTTAGCAGTGATGTATGTGCGGTTCTGGGACAAAAGCAACTAAAGATAACTATCAATAAATGACTGCGTAACTATATACTGCTGCGTAATCAATCATTCCAAGAGGGCTGAAATGCTGTTAAAGATTCAGCATTTTTAGACCGATATATTCCCTTAACAGAGTCTAAGTGTAGTATTTTTAAAAGATTGATGTTATGAGAGGTTTCCTAAAACAAATAGCTCTAACCTTAAATTCTTCAATGGGATGATCTGTGATAAATAGGGATGTAATGATTCACTCAAGCCACGATTCGATTCGAAGAAAATTAGATTTAGGACAAATTATAAATAAAATGTGTCCTTTTATTATTGCTTGGACAAAATGCTGCACAATTTCTTTGTGAAATTGAAATATAACACTATAATAATATACTAATATAGCACTTGTATATTATTGCTCTTTTGTTGGTTTTGATTGCTTCTATTGTCCTCATTTGTAAGTCGCTTTGGATAAAAGTGTCTGCTAAATAACACAATTTAATATAAATGTAAACAACAAAACTAAATTGAAATTTTAAAACAAGCCCAAATAAAACACAAATAAAGAAATCTCTTCATATAAACAAACTAAGGCTTTGTCTGTGCTCTTTCCATTTAAAATTAAGAGACAACCACTGCATTTTAATCTTGTTCCAAACAAAGATGCTGCATACATGCAACATGAGCAGTTTTTAATCTAAATTAGATTGTATAATTTCGACATTTGAAGCAAAAACAGAATGATTTGACTTCTGTTTTGTGAAACTATAGGCCTACATAAAAAATATCTGCATGAAACAGAAACAGCAGACGAGCTGAAAGAGACGCAGATTCACTCTCTGCCAGCAGGTGGCGCTTAAAGCGTTTCCGCTGTAAACAAAGCAGCGCTGCACTTATGTACTTTAATATGCATTATACAGAGGCAAGATGAAAAGAAAAAATACCATCTAAACTTTTCTAATGACAGTAAGTTCCCCTCACATACATTCATATAAACTACCCCTAATTGAATCGCGATTTGTTTAGCATCTCAACCGATCTGAATCGTCATATATTTAAATCGATTTTCAACCTGCTCGCGGTTAATCGTTACATCCCTAGTGATAAACCCACACCTGTGACCGCACATTCTATTAATACGCAACTTATTGGAAACCTTTAAGTAGCTTATATTTAGGCTTAATAAGCTCAATTGTTTAAATATTAATTTTAATAAATGTAATTATATCAAACATCAGTCATCTATCAATTTGACATATTTCCAAGTGATATAAATGTAGGGTGGGATTTTATCCATCGGGAATTGATTAGATTGTGAAAAGTGATTGTTAAATAATCAATGAGAGAATGAAGAATTCATCACATAAAGGAAAGTCATTTTAGAGGCGGAACATGCCTTTACATTTTTTGGGGGGAATATGCACTAATCGTACATATTGCAAAAAGTCTGAACATACAATAACAAAGTAAATAGGGTCAATTTGATTTCATGTTGACTTTAAACCGAAGGCGAAAGCAAAGATTATGCCAATGACACTTAATAATGTGGTTTCAATAGAACTGGTACTTTTTTTTTTTTTTTTAAGTTTCCATTGCTAACTAAACTTCTTAAAAACCGGGCCGACAAACAGGCAAAATTCTATGCTCTGACCCTTTGCGTCAGTCGTGGTTTGAATGTCACCCTCTTGACTCGTCTACTGGAGGTCCATGTCCTCAGACAAGAGCATTAAATATATTCCCTTTGATGTGGCTACTATATTTGCATGGTTGAGCACATACTGTGTGTTTATCAACAGGCACTGCATATACCCAGAATGCTTTTGGAAAGAGAAAGACCTGATATTACCAGGTGAATGACTCACATTGACTGCAAATGAAAGGCAAATGTAGCCTGAGGGGCAAAGGTAAGCTAAACAAACAGCTGAAAACACACGTGTAACCAAAATACACAAACGGTCACTACAATGACAGAAAAAAAAATGTGCAAAAACACCTTGGGCTACACTAAAGGTTGTACCTTTAGGTGCAGTAACAGCTTGTCACTGGGGTAGTACACAATGAAAGGGACAACTTTGTACCCTTTATCTACCCCTAAATAGTATTAGTACCTTAGAATAGTAATATGTTCCCTCAGGGTACTACTATGAACCTTTTAGGAGTAATAAGGTACAAAGATGTCCCTTTGAGGATACTGCCCAAGTCACAAGCTGTTGTACCACCAGCCTCAAGGAACAATTTTTGCATTTTGTTTTCTGACAGTGTACTAATGGAATGTGTTCATCTGTACCTTTGAAGGACTTTGTGTTCACCTACTTGCTCAAACTCCTCAAGGTCGACCTCTCCGTCTCCGTTCAAGTCAAACATCTTGAAGGCGATTTCAAAGTTCCTCTGTGGAGCTGCAAAGGGACGAAACAGCTTTTGCAACCCAAAGATATGACAGCATTTACTTTCACTAACACATAGATGCAATTTCTGCATTTCTTAACGGTTTAAAAAATAATACACAATGTGACAAAAAAGTTTTACTTACATTTTTTATGATTCTTCTGTGATGCTAATTATTATTGTAATATTTGTTTTCACGAAGCATCCGTATTTTTGTAAATATTTAGGTATATTTTAGAACTTGTATCATTAATTATGAAACATTAATTTAGTACAGATACATTTTTGTACTAATTGTGCATGTTTTTAAAAGATATTTTGCTTTTGCAAGGATGGGAACATTCTAGAAATTTCTGTAACATTCTGGAATATTCTAGCGCTTTCTGGAACTTAAACTGTTGTTAATGATACACAAAAAGTAATGTGATTTTCATATTCAGCATGTGGAATTTTATAAAGAAATGTACAAAAAAAAACTTCTATAAAAATGTGTTTCACTGTTATCAGTCATTTCATTAAAACTTAGAAAAAAACACATTTCTACTCACATCAAATAAAGATTCAGTTATATCAGAGGCCTAATTAAAGCTCTTTACTTCTACAAAAGGGTGGTCCACCGTCATGGTGGCAGGCATGTTGAAATCACATGACCCAATACTGCTCACTTTTTCCTTATAACCCCCTTATTATCATAAACTTCTAGTTGCGGAATAAACTACCAGGTAACGAAGCGCAAACATTTGCTTTTATGATGCTTCATCCACACCAGTAGGTGTCAGTATTAAGCCCAACAACACTGTCATAATAGCTAGCAAAACAAAAAGAGATTTAAAAGAAATACACGTCGGTGCCGATAGCCTAGTGGGCAGTGCGTTGACATATAACGCCATTGTGTTACGGGCGTCCCGAGTTCGAATCCCGGCGAACTTAATTTTATGTAATTAAAAATGACATTTGCACCACTTTTTACAAAAGTTAAGACTGAATGTACCTGAAAATGCCAAATGGTGTAACTGCCAAAGAATGAGAAATATTAAATATTTTATCCACCTAGATGGCATGTAAGCGTACTCATAGAAATAAATACTTCATTTTAAAATATCAAACGAAAATAGATTTTTTTTTAGAGTTATCTCTAAATGTAAATTGTAAAAATTTTTAAAAAATGTTAAAAAATTGGCGGGACTTATGCTGAAAACACCTCTGTTTTCTAAATAATCTTTGACAAATTATGTAAAAATCGTTAAAAACCATGTTACTACACTAAACTAGATGATTACATTTTACTCCACATTAATTTTCCTGTATATAATTATATTTTTATGAAAAATATTGGTTACGCCAATTGACACAAATCAGTTACACCACCTGACCATGTTGCTTCTACAGCCAAAAGCCATTGTTTTTTGAAGAAATAGACACTGAAAATCAAGCATGACAGTCAATAAGTTCAGCAAAGTGTTTTTTTTCCAATACTGAAAAAAAAAAACCCAGGCAAAAAGGCAAAAAAATCACAATCATCATTGTGATTAACAGTGAACTCATGTCTCCTACTGTAATTTTAATTTTCATATTGTAATTTCGTATTGTATTGTGGCATCTATTGGGGGAAAAAGAGGTTAAAAAATATCACCCATTCACTGCTATTATAAAGCTTGGAAAAGCCAGGATTTTTTTTTATATATAACTCCGATTGTATTCGTCTGAAAGAAGAAAGTCATAAACACCTAGGATGGCTTGAGGGTGAGTAAATCATGGGGTAATTTTCATTTTTGGGTCAACTGTCCCTTTAAAATTTTAAGTGAATGGAATAGAAATATGCATTAAAGCTAAACATTTAAAAAACACTAATGTTGTGCAACAATTATTTTATCCTAGACTTACAGAGCTTTAATAATAAACCAATTTCTCAAAATAATATATCATTGAACACTTGAAAATAGTTCCAAATAGTAGGTTAGTTTATATTACATCTTTAATTAGCATCATTAACTAGTGATATTTGACCAAATTGGCCCCTAACAGAAAGGCTTGTAATAGGAGTCAAATGGTGTACCACTTATTACACCACTTGACATTTCAATTTAAAATCAAATTTGACAGGCATTATCATGGACACCTATGTAAATACATGGCCTTGGTGGGAATATTTCAAATGTAATTTTTAAAGGTACCACTCATGTTAAATTATCAATGTATTCCTGCAGTCATACCTTTTGACATGCATACCTAAGTATACCTGACCATACCCTACAAATATCAAATTATCTCACATTCTAAAGAGAGTTACTAAACTTTGCATGCAGCGGTTAGTGTCACCAGGGGTCCCTCTCTGTGATATAATTTCCTGTCACATGGTATTCTTGGAAAATATTAACAAAATGGCTTTTTGAATGGTGGTTACACCACCTTGACACTTCAGGAATTTGACTTGACTCACATAATTCTCCAAACTAATTATAATATTCAGAACAATGGTGCTCCATTTACTTTTATTTACTATTAAATGTAAGATTATGCCAAACTAGTTATTATGGTGTTTTATTGAGAATTTCACCTTTTTTTAACAAGATAAATTATTTTGTACAAAGTTTTTATGGTTCCACCACATTGACATTTTTGCAATCATCCCCCAAATATTCTCTCAAAATGAATTAAAACCAGAAATTTTAGATTTGGTCCTCAAAAAAGAGAATGTATGCAAGTAATTAGCAAATTTATTTTGAAATGTTAACCCTTTTAAATTTAATCAAACCATGCGGACACCAAAAAAGTAACGTCACGTCATTGACCTATATACACAAAGTACATTCAAGACACTTACTGGAAAGGACAGTTGTGAGGAAGATGTAGTCAGAGAAAGAGATGAGTCCACACTCCCCCAGTGTGTAGAAAATGCTGTCCTCGTCGGCAAACTTCTCTCTGTCCTGAGAGATCTTCTACAGATGCCCACAGAGAAACAGAGGAGAGAGAGAGTCAGCAATGCTTCAGCTGAACACCATATGGAGCATCTGAGTCCTGTTTAAGAGCTGAGCTCCACAGAGTCTGTACAGTGCAGCAGAGATAAGGGAACTAGCATGCTGACACTGACACAGCACAGTAGAATCATGCAAGGGATGCAGAGTCATACAAGACACAAGCAAAAATAAAACATCAAAAAAAGGGTGTCAAAACAGACATTTCATAAGTGTCACTTATAGATCAGCACATATGTTTCAAAACCAAGTGAGCTGCCTACCTAGACAGCATTTTGGAACATCAAGCATGTTCTGACAGTCAAATCAAGGTGGTAAAATCAAGTGGGTTGCTTAATTAACATCTTTGAGCATCAAATGTGTGGCCAAATGTTTAAATCAAGTGGGCTTCCTACCTAAACAGCACTTTTGGGCATCATAGATGTTTAAATCAAGACGGTGACTACCTCAACAACATTTTTCATACAAGTGTTCAAATGCTCAAATGAAGTGTGATTCCTACCTAAACAGCATATTTGGCCATAATAGATGCATTTGACCATTTAAATCACGGAGGTTGTCAACATGTGTGCAACATGCTTAACTGCAGTTCTTAACATCATAGGTGCACACCTAAATATGCCTAATATGATGATCAAGAATGGTGTCTAGGTAGGAAGCTTACTATGTTTTTGAGATATGTCTGTATTGAACAACATAGTAAGTGCTACAGTCACTGACTTCGCTTCACAAAACGCAAGATCACACAGTATTTGACATTTCTGAAGTAAACTGGTTCACATTTTATGAGCATGAACGAAGGTGACTCCACAGTGGTGTGAACACAGTTTTCTACCTGTTTTTGGCATAGAAAGACATAGAAAGAATCAGAATCCTCAAGTGTGGAAGTACACACACATATACACACACACAAATAGCATGCCAGAGCTCAGTTTCTGCCGATGTATCGTGTTACCTCTGTCTGGGGTTGATTCCATCAGTGAGTAAAGGGGAAGAAAAATGGATTAAAACAACCTGACCATTGAGCAGACAGTCAGGCCCACCACACACCATAAGTGTATAAACACACCATAGCAAACACCCAAATCCAGCCCTTTTCACGTCATGCTAACACACAAAAACACATTTATGCAACATCCCACACACACACACTTCCCACTGAACACACACTCCCTTTGTGACGACATGATACAAGCCGATAACACACGATACACGCCTCCATATTCACTTTAGCATCAAAATCAGATATTGAAAAATAATATTTCCCACTGAAAATCTCCTTAGCAATGCGTGCATTGCTACTGCTATTACCTCAGGTCTGAACAAACCTCTAACCCTAATTATTGCATATCTATGAAATACTAATTTCTGAACATCAGACTCAACATTCTGTAAATCAAATCTTTTTGAATAAGGTGAATAAGGGACAAGGTGAACACAGGTTATTTTTGTACCGCTCCGAGACTGGTCCGAATGGGAATAGACTTGTGCTGCAGGTGCTGACAAAAGCAAACTTGTGTATGTGTGTGTGTGTGTGTGTATGTGTATATGTGTGTGTGTGTGTGTGTGTGTGTGTGTGTGTGAGAAGAGGAGCCATGAGGGGCTAATATGCTCCGGGCTTATTGTGTCCCTGCTGTCACCTTCAGAGACACCCAAGAGACGCTCATTCTTATCCAATGTTAATAGTAGGGATGTCAAACGCACCGACACTTTAGTACTAAAAATGTAACTATAACAAGTGTGGTCACTTTATTTTAAGGTGTCCTTGTTACACGTTACATGTATTTACTATTACAATAACAATAAATTATGCATAATTACATTTACATTTAGCAGATGCTTTTATCCAAAGCGACTTACAAATGATGACATTAGAAGCAACCAAAACCAACAAAAGAGCACTAATATATGAGGAAAAAAAATTAACTTAAATGATTTTAGCAAATGGCTGCAATATAACAAAGAGTGAAAAATTTAAGGGGGTCTGAATACTTTCCGTACCCACTGTATATTCATATAACAAAAATAAAACAAGTAGATAGAACAGAAAAGAATAGAATAGAGAAAGCTATGTTACAGGCCTTTTTTATTACATGCAAGTAGCACTAAGCATAAACCTATCCTAACCATATAGTACTAAGTACATGTAGGTAATTAATATTACTCAGTACTTAAATGTATAATCACACTGTAACAAGGACACCTTAAAATAAAGTGAAACCAGAAGTCTTTCTACAGCATCAGTAACAAACACCAGATACAAAGCATTTTTTATGATATTTCTAACCATATACAGTATATACTCTATCACTGCTAGAATACATTAGAAATTGTTGGCAGCTCAGTGTTTGATTTGATGAGCTCTCTAGTGTGTGTGCCATCACTGTAGATTTCGATGGAACCACCGTTTCATATTTTTAAGCTGTATGAAGTGCTCTATCCATGTTTTCAGAGCTAATTCAAGATTTTGTTTATTTTTTCCCTCTCTCACCCTCTCTCAATACAGATATCTGACAGCTAAGGTCACTACAAGGTCTGCAGAAGCACTAAACTCAAACTAAACCCATAACTTGATAAGATTAGAATAGAACATTATGCTATTTTATATAAGAACTACTGGCAAACACACACAAGTTTCCATGTTTTATGGGGACATTCCATAGACGTAATGGTTTTTATACTGTACAAACTATATTTTCTATTGCCTTACCCTAAAGCAACCCCTCACACAAAACTTTCTGCTATTTTAGATTTTCAAAAGACTTCATTCTATATGATTCATAAGCTTGTATCCTCATGGGGACCAAGAAAATGTCAAAATGTACTGGTTTACTTGTGGGGACATTTGGTCCTCCTAATGTAGGGAATACCAGTTACACACAAAAACTAGGGAGGAATTCACTACTGGTGAATTTTTTGCTCCACATTTCAAATAATTGAGTCTGTTTTCGAGGTGCAAAGTACATCATTTCTGCTGAGACAAGCAGAATTTGCACATTTCTAAATATAAGATGCTCATGATGAAATGCCGAATACATTTTAGGGACACTTTACGAACTAAATAAATAAATAAAAAATAAATGTAAACAAAACTTAAAAATGCTTGTTTACACAACATTATAAATTGGGATTAACAAGTGGCACTTACATAAATTGCAATTCTTCAGGAATCCATATAAAGCGCATGTCAGATCCCACCTTTCAAATGGAACTTGAGGCCTCGCCAAAAGGACTACTGTGAAAACACTCAATCTTACGAAACGTAAGACCGCTTAAAATGCTTAAAAGAGGCACTATAGCATGATAAATGTTACAGTTCCTACTCAATATGCCTGCGATGCAAATCTGGCAGGATCAGACACTCCTCCATATTTAACTTTCATTAAAAAGATTACGAGCATTTGACAGCCTGATTAATCTTCAGTGCCACTGTTTATGTGGAGAGGATTGAGAGAGCAAGCACTGACCAACTACTTTCTGTTCTGTGTCCAAGCACTAGCAAGCAGGCCTATATGGAAAGCCTGGACAGATCCTTCAGCACACTCCTGTTAGTACCTTAGGAGTTCTCCAAATTTTCTTGTTAGCTCAAATATGTTCAAAGAGCTCTTGGAACATTTCTAAGTTCTACATCTTGCTTTTGTTCTTAGGTGGATGTCCTCAGGACATGTTCTCGCTAGATGGAGCGCAGCTGAATTGACTGAGGCATATTAAGGCCCTGACACACTTCAAGCAGACTGGAAGAACACATTTCTGTGACGTCATTTCGAACACAATCTGGCCAAAAGTTTCCAGAAAAGGCTTGTAAACACCTTTAAATTACCACTGGTTTGTTGCAATTACGTAATAGGCGCATCAGTTATCCATGAAATAGGCTAGCTGGAAATACGGTTAGCTCTATTTTTGATAAACGTTCGTGAAGTCTCAGACTCATGAACCCACACTTCACAAGTAATGCTGCTACGGCACTGTCCAAAACTAAGCCCAAGGCAAAATTCAGCCTTTCTCCAAATGAGGGGAAACTGGGAGACTGGGTCTGGATTTGGTGAGCTTTCCAAGGATTTCCGCTTTCAGGCTTTTGGTGTGGAGCTCAGTGTAAAAGTGGTTTTCTAAACTTGATATGATTTGCAATTGGTTTGAAAGCAGTTCATCCAAATAAGGCTTGCCGCGATAGACGGTGCTGACGGTGATACCGGTGTTAAGCCGCAACACCGGTTACGTCACTTGCCCACCGCGACACCGACCCCCACCGTCGTTTTGATTTTTTTTATAGTAATAAAAATAATTTAGTTCAGTAAAAGAACAGACACTACAATTAAAAACTGAATGCAGCGTGCCGAACGACAGTCGCATCACAGATCAGATTTAATTTCTCCAGTGAGGAGAGCGAGTCGAGCTGACTGACAACAAGAGTGAGGTGAGACAGACAAGACGATCGCGGATGATTTAGTTTCGAAACGAGATACAAAAGCGCCTGCTTGGCAGTATTTTGGATTTTGGAAATCCGTTTATCTAAGGTGATTTTGGAAGTTTTTTTAAACATTTGTTTCTTATTTAATTGGTTCCACAGTGTTTGCTGATTTTTACTTTATTTAAACTTTGTGTCATTTATTTATTTGATTTGACATCAAGGTGTATGCCGTGCCTCCAAGCTTTCTTACTCGTTTTGCTAATAAACGTTCTACGTTTCTTATTTATTTGGTTATATATTATGCATGTTTACTTAGCCTATTTCCAGTTTTGTATACCTAATAAACTTTATACAAGTTATTTGTTATTTTATATTAGGCATAGCCTGCCCTATAGCATGGTGTATTTTTATTTGTTTTGTTAATAAAAGTTCTGTTTTATATATAGACTAAAGTGAGTTTGACGTTGTATTTTGTTGTTGCATTCAAGCAATTGACGCCGAACTGCCGCGAATTTGAAAGTGAAAGTAAAATGCCCATGGTGCTTTTAAGCTATTTAAAAGTGAAGGAAAGCGAGGAAAAGAGGGAAAATCCAAACAAACTAAAAACGAACAATTGCTTTACGCCAAATTGCCGCTATTTGAAAGTGAAAGTAAAATGCCCACGCCACTTTTACAAGCTATTTAAAAGAGAAGGAATGCGAGGAAAAGAGGGAATGCCCCCACCCCCACGGTGATACCAGTATTAACAGTTTTGTCACACGTCGATTAACCGGTGGGAAAATTTCCTCACTGTCACAACCCTAGTCCAAATGTGCAGAAATGAACTGATATTGATGATCTATAAATTGCAGTTTTGCAAGCTCCTGATCACACTTATAGCCAAATACATTTGTCTCCAAATAAATTGCCCTGAGCGAGCGGCTTGCATTCTTTGCATCTCTAGCAATGCAATGCAATGGAGATAAACACAAGTCTGCATTAAGTTTTGGTGTCTAAAATGAAGATGTGCCTTCTCCTCCTGAGACATATTGGGACATAATATAATATACAAATATATATAAATAAAAAAAACACGGTCAAAAATGGTCTGAATTCTGAGCGACTTTGATTCAAGCATTGCTAATCATTCAATCATGTTCATGAGATGATTTATTATGAACTGCTGCAGTTTATACAAACCCCGCAATATTAATTTCTATCAACAATAAATCAGATTGCTTGCCAAACCAGAACGACACCATCTTTTCACTGATAATACATCCCATTTGTGGTCAGATTTTCAGAAGTAATGGCCTGTTCTGCAACCCATCAATAACACGATGGCAGCCAGCAGTAGGAACAGCCACTACAATCAACAACACAGCCATTCATATAATTATATTTAAGAGTGCGTTCAACTAGAAAGTACTTGCCATTTTTAAAAACAAAACAAAAAAACTACACTCATGCATTCATTCATTACAAATGCCAAATAAACCCCTATGTGCACTAAACTGAAAAATACAGTCAAATTCAAATACTGATTATTTAGACCCATCATTCCAGATTCAGAA